CCTTTTAGATTTTCCTTCCTATTCAATAAAATGTTTTAATAAAAAAAAAATAAGATCTTAGAAGCACCAGAATAAAATAAATTAAAAATCAGCCAAACACCAAAATAGAGTGTGATATATGCCGCTGCAGTACATATTGTTGTTTAAACGGTGATTGATTCTGGCTTTTCAACTTCAAAGGTACTCAGATAAATAGAGCATGATTAAGTAGATAAATATATATTGAAAAAAATAATTTAAATATACCATAAAGATACAAGAAAATAAAAAAAAATGGCCAATTCAATAATTAGACTTAACATTAAATCATAAAACATATGGTTTAATATTAAAATTGGCCATTAAATATTTGAAATTATTTTAAATGATGACATAAATAGCAAATTTAAAGTTTAAATGTATGTAAAGTATATTTAGATTTAAATATATATAATATAGTTGTATATGTAAATATATGTTCATTAAAAAATTCCATTTTGCTTTACAAATTAACAAACATTTGTTTCCTTTAGCCTTTAATGAGCCCAGGTTAAGCAAAAATTATTTGTCCCTTAGGTCTTAAACCTAACCAAAACTAGCCAATTTACTTGAAGCTTCTTATTATAATTCATTACTGTTACTGAGGAAAAGCAGTTTTATTTGTTATACTATAGGTGCTGTGGGTTTTATTAAATAGAATATGGTGCTAGAAGGATTTTAGTGAGGATTCAGTTCATAATACCTTTTAAATCTAAGTCTAAGGCTATCTTGTATCCTTACATTATCACGTTTCAAATTAAACCTGTACTTTCATTATTTTACTGCAGTTGATGAGAAATCTTAAGTTTGATCCACCCGGTAAAAACCTTGGCCATTTGTCTTTTTTTACCTGACTGTGATAGACAACGGGCCCGTAAGTTCAGCTGCAACTGAGCCACTTGAAATTTCAAATCAGTTTTTTGTTTTCTCTATTTTCTAAAATTGCTTGGGTTCTGCAAGAGCAACTTCTAGAATGTATAACAATTAATTTCTGTAGTTGCATTTCAGTTTTTTGTATAAAAGTTGTGTAACAGGAACATTAGGCAAGAGGAGACCCTGAACAGCTTCATGTGGTGAAGATTTGGTTTATTGGCAGTATTTTAATGTGTCTTTCCTGTTGGTTATTAAATGTTGAACTCTAGATGATAAAGCCAAGCCTCCAAAGGTGAGCTTGTACTCAGTGGCGCCTGAACTCCAGCAGGAGGGGAAGCAGCCCCTACTGTGTGTCGCCTCGGGCATGTTCCCCACTGATGTCCAGTTTTCCTGGAAAAGGAAGAAGGCTGGTTCTCAGGAGGAGCCTCTCCCTGATGAAGAACAACTGGAAATCAAAGAGTCGGATCGTATCGCCTCCCTCAGGCTGGTTGATAGGGATCCTGACTCCCCCTATAATTACACCTGCAATGTAAAGCATGAACTAAAAACTGAGGACCTGGAACCAATAGGTAATGAATATTCAAAGCCTTTGATTCTATTTGGTTAAACTGTATGTTTACTGAGCAAAATACTGATAACTTTTTGTTTATGCCACAGTGATTACACAAGCGCTTCCAGCTCACACTGCTAGTTCCAGCAACTGGTACAGAGAGAGGCTGTTCTGCCTGCTGTACTCAGTGCTGATAGCCAAGAGCCTGGTTTATTTCTGTGGAATCTCCCTGTTCAGCATCTACTGAAACAGGAAAGCTTCACTCCATCAATGACTCAGCATCTGTCCTTCTGCAGCAAAAGCCTTTTTTTCCCCAACATGAATGTAAAGCTTAAATATTTTTAGTTTTAACTGCAAACATAATCATAAATATAATAATCTTGGCAAGCTTCATTGCATTAGCAGCTTTTACATTTGATAAATGTATGTAATACATTGAGAGATTTGGTACATTTTAAGTGAATTAAATGCTCTATTTGAAATACTGCATATTTCTGTTTTCTTTTTTCACAGGATGTCTTAAAATTGTTACGTTTCTTCTACAAACATTTTACAATTTATCTTTGTGTTTAGATTTTATTTCAAGTTTTTTTTGTCTTTTTTTTTCTTCTGTAAAATTAGTTTTAGCTGAAAGTCTGTTTAGCAAGATTAGAGTTTGATTTTTGCAGAAGAAAAAGAGGTGAATCTCATTTAATAAAACACTGATTATCTCTTTAATCAGAACATTCTATTTAAATTTAAGTAAAATTTATAATATATATTTGGTAAAATGAACAAGTAATTAATGAAGACAAGGCAAAAAAGTCCCTTTATTTCCTGTTCTATATAACCCAGACATTAAGATAATTTTATTTCATAGTTTATAGATTATAAGAATATTTTGGTACAGGCTGAAATTGTTGCACAGACACAAATTCAGTATATATATAAACTGTTAAGGAATTACAGAATTTGGCAATAGCAGTAATTGTAGACCAGTTAGAATTATTTCGCTTTGTAAATCTATAATATTGCCTGGTGTTTTTTTTAAGTTAAATGATTTTTTTTTCTATTTAACCAGGGAAATATTTACTTTAGAAAAAAAAAAAATTTCCAACTTATCATTTATTTGTAATCAGAATAAGATACATCAAAAACGTTAAAAAAAATATATATTTTCTGCTGTGTAACGTCAAAGGGACATTATGTAACCTAAATGCTAAATTAAATATTTCATTACAAGAATCTTACCAAGAAAACTTGTGGCTAAGAAGGCTAAGCCTGAACTACAGTTTTTACAACATTTTGGTCAGTTAGTGAGGCATCAGCTTTAATCGGACTCATACAATTAGTTTAATAAATGGCCTGCGTGCAAAGGAATTAATCCATTTGTTCAACAACAGAACCAAATCTGGCCACAGATCAGCAGGTCCCCTCACCCCTTCCTGCAGCTGTGTGGGTTCGTGCTCTGCAGCCCCCATGCCGTTAGCTGTGGCTTTTCACTTTAAAAACACAATGACAGTTACAAGCATTGGCTTAGCTGAGACAGTCATTCCAGGAAGCACCTGTGTTCTTCATTTAACAGAAAAAAGAGCTCAGACCATGAGCATATAGCTGATCAATGAGCTTTGATTGAATTAAATACAAAAACAATGAAGTCTCTGATCTCCATACAATCGTGAAAACTTTGTGAAAAACAGAATCAAAGTTAATAAATTATTTTAGCAGAAAATAAGAGCAATGACAATGTGAAATTATTGAACTATACTAAACTATACTAATATATTCTGCAAATCATTAAATGCTTTTCTGCATTTATTGCAACACTATTTCAATAAATGTGAGAACTGTTCAGCTTCATGAAGAAACAAAGCAGCCGACTGCTTCTGTTCTTTCTGATCAGAGCAACACAGACCACACTGAGGCAAAACACACAAACCACTGACACAAACATGTCAGAGTAGTTTGTTCTTCTGAAGACATGAGCTAGAACAGACGTCCATATTGGTTCGCCTCATTAGTTCAGTTCCTGATGGTTGAAGTCTGGATGTCAAAGTTGGGCTTTTTTTTAGTTCACTTCAAACTGGTTCTGTCTCTGTGGAACAGATCTTCACTGCTTCCCAAGACAGTTTTCAAATTATTCAGATGTACTGTATTGCTGCCAGCCGCTGCTTCGTCTATTTAAGTCCCACAGGGCTCAGTCCTTGGCCCTATACTATTTCCACCCAGTGTCTTTTCATTGTTCCACTGATGATCTATTTGAAGATCTTTTCAGAACTAAACATTTAACAACAAAAGCGTTAAGGTCCTTTGCATCACTGTCCTGCTATCATTAAGAGCCAGATAGCTTCTTATTTACTGGAACTAATTTCATATCATATTGAAGTCTTTTATTACAGCTCATTGATTGATACAGAATCGTAGTCACACACACACAGTCAACAAAAAGCTCTCAGACAGAACATTCCACCTGGACAGCCTCACACAGAGAAAAACTTCAGTAACAAAAGTTTTATTGATATAAGTGAAATAGGTTCTTTGGCCTTTCGGGCCTGACAGCCTTTGATGCTGTGAATTGGGATCAGTTTGGATAAATAACCATTGAAAAGGTTTATTCTTCTGTCTAATCTTCCCCTAGGGTCCCAGATGGTCCAGGTGAGCCTGATCAGAGTCTTCCAGATTAAATTTTTGGCTTAAAAATTTCGGATTTGTAGCTGAACTCTTTTTCCGTCCTGTTCATTGTGATCGCCCATTCAATGTTCTATTAATTACTTTGAAGTTCTGCATACTGTCTCCGCTCTACACATCAGCTCTCTAAACTGCTCACTATCCTCATTTACTCCTCAAAAAAAAGAGAATCAGATGTCCTTCTGTATATCCCGTGATGTACTTTAATATACAAATATCAAATAGAAAATAAGAATGATGAAACCATAAAACACATACATTTGTCAGTGCTAAAATATTTGGCTGTAAATTGAACAGACTTTGCCTGAGACTTTCAGAATGGATATGTCCACTTTTGATTTCTTGACCAATCTTCACCATAAACTCAGGTTGGGAGAGCCGACATTCCTTCCCTCTCCTAAACGCTGGTGTCCCGCAGGTATAGGTGTCTGTCCCCTGTGTTTGGAAAAATCTATCTACTATCACATCCCTTCTAACATTAATTATCAGTGCTGATTTGTATTCACTTACTTTAAAAAGTATTCACTAAAAACATCTCACACCTGCAAGGCTACACTGGAAAAACCATCTAGCAATAAGTAAAAATGTCTTAAATTAAGTATATTTACCCTTAATCTGAATAGGGAAATGAGATGGTTTACCAATGGAATGAGTGTTTTTACTCTTAGAATAAGGAAATTAGATAACATGCACCTGAAATATGACAATGCAATTGTGTTTTCCTAATTAAAATGTAAATTGGCTTGTTCCATTCGTAAAATGTATTATGTCCTCAATTCAAGAACAAATTCACTTATTTCAAGAAAAAATTACTTACCGTATCTAGATTTAATTTTTTTCCAGTGTACACATTTTCTGTATCAGAGGGGTTGTTTTAATACAATTAGAGACTGGAACAGAGGCTAGACTCCTTCGGATTCAAGGTTTTTGCAACATTTTTCTGTTTTCTTCAACTGCCTGTAACTTGTTTTGATTAACTGTATGTGGAGACCTTCATAGCTCTATGCAGGCTTTAAGTTAGTTAGAAAAAACTTGTCTAGACCAAAACAGACAGGAATATTGGCAAGAATCTGATCTTTGCTCCTTTGCAAGGATTAATAAATACTGGTAGGATGAAAACGCCAATCTCAATTTCTTGTTATTAGACTTAGACCTTTTTTTCCCCGACAGCATCCCCTCTCTGGCAAGGATCAACGTCTGCAGACCTTACCAACACCACTGTGAAATGCCACATGATACTCCCAGTGCACGGTTTTAAGCCTGCCCCTTTGCACCATATCAATAGTTTTTAGCTGCTGTATGGAGGGTCAAAACAACCTCCAGGGTGCATCATCCCAATTCTTTACTTGTGGAGGAGTGATCTCCATGAAATGAAAAAGGGAAAAAAGAAATTTTTCAGTATTAACGAAATTTATTCAAATAAAGCATAACACTTTTTTTTTAACAGCACACAACAGAGAATCAAATTTATCTCAGGTCTGTACCACAACTCAATGTTATCCAAAAGAACGGCCCGTTTGTTTCCCACCTATTTATCCAAAAGCCTGTCAAGATATAGCCTGCATGTAAGCAGCTTATCTATGGTTGACCAGATGCTGACTTATTCGCCAAGTCAGCATCTGGCTCTCCTCAATGTATAAAGCTCCAGCTCCTGGTTAATTAGCATTTTCCACTGACAACAGCTGCCTTACCTCTTCCATTTTCACACATGAACCATCAAAGAATGTGGACTCACCAATAAGATAAACTGATTGACTAGCGGCTAAATATTTAAAGTAATAAAAGTTAAATTGAAAACAATATAGTTCAGTGAGAGCATTTTATTTAGCATTTTAAGGTAGTGTTACATAAGCATGAGAAAATGAAGACCTATTTGACCAAAAAATAAAACTTTAAACAAAGATATTAATGAAGTAAATACTCTAAAATCTGGATTATATTTTTTCTTTTTTTATATCCCGCAGCCTTTTATAAACTCACTGAAAGGCCTTTTAAGTCAAGTCAGATTTGACTTTTAGGGCCTTCATCAACATGGTGTCTCCTAGGTACAATCCTAAATAGGAGAAATGAGCAAACATTAAGCAAGCCCAAAAATGAAAATAAAAATAAAGTAAGAGAAGGATAGAGAAGGACAATTCTCTGTAACATAGATATTACAGTGATGTACACAATAGCTACTATAAGTCATAAAACACACAATACAATAAAACATGTATTTTTTTAGTATTATTTGAGTTTTTCTACTAGGTTTAACAATTTATCTATACAATACTGTATTTTAACTTGGAGTTTTATCATTTTGAAAAAACACTTCATATTGTAGAGCTAATATTGTGATTTTATTCGGTGTATCCTGAAGTCCGTTTCACAAATCAGGTTTAATAAAAACTCAGTTTGTTAACTTTGAAATCAAGGAAAGTCTCAGTTTTCAGTTTCACAAAGAGAGTTAACTAAACCTCTGTGTCTGTTACCATAGTAACATTCTCTGAAATATTTATAGGTAGTGTTCATAGCTGTCCTTTCACATTCAAAAATGTATCTTTAAGAGCACAAACTTTTCACCTTACAATCCATCACATAATTCCACAACCTTATCCGTCCTCACATTTGCAGCATTGCAAAGACTTCTTTAATAGATATTTAACTAAACCTGATATCAGTGACAGCATATTGATGTGTGGGATAACAGCGTTATAGAAACCGATTGCACAGTCAAGCAGCCACTTAGTATTTACTGTGTAATGCAACACAAAATCAAGATGAGGAGGAACCCATGAGATGATGCAGGGATCCTACCTGTTTAAACAATATTTGTATACTTTATCTTCACCTGCTGACAGGTGAACTCCTCTTCCCGTGAGATTTCACCTAAATAAAAGTACATTGATACACTACCATTCAAGCAGAAAAGTAGTTTCCCCCATGAATGTTATCGTGGTTATATCAGTCTATGGCAGGCTGTTTTGATATTCATCAGTAGGACTGAATATGTATTTCAGATATCAGAAATAAATTCCTATCTATTCAAAATGAACATTTCAGACAATTAAAATAACAGCCTTCAAATCTTAACTAAACATTCCAGATTTCTAAAAATGAATTTCAGATCTCCATATTCTTATCGTCACTCAACTAAAGCAGGTATCTTTTACAACTTTTCTCAATCTCCTTTGCAGATGTAGCGCCGTTTCTCTTGCTTTTAAAATTTTTTTTTTATTCTGCATTTACATCTCTAACTCCAGTTCTTATGTCGTGGTAATTTGCCAAATTGGGGCTCCATTGATAATGGCGTTTCATAGTTGTTACTCATGCGGTGACTCTGAGTGAACCTTCTCAGAGGTAATTCAACTAACAAAGCAGCTGTTTTGAAATTGTAAACTCAGAGATTCCAACCTTAGTCTACATCAAGTAAGAGTTAATGATCTGAAAGCAATGGGAACTGATTTGTTCCCATTGTTGTTGCAATTGTTCTGATACCACTACATTTGGTCATATATTCTACAATTCTATAATCCTACAATACCTGCCTGACAGAGCATTTCAGCCTAAATCAAATAAGAAAACCTTTGGGGTCTAATAACTATGCTTAAGAATGATCAAACTAATATATAGATATTTCTTCCAATATTCTTTGCAAAACAAAAACTATAATTAAAATTTTAAAGTTCTTTAACTGTATATCTCTGTAAAGGTCCAATGGTCAAATTCGACATAAAAAGGTCTTTAACCTGTATGAATTTTCAGGTGAGCACTTAAATAGCAATTCCGAGAAAATGTTTTTCCGCATGTCTGACAAAGAAAAGGTTGCTCACCTGTGTGGGTTCTGATATGAACATTTAAATGACTCTTTTGAGAGAAACTTTTTCCACATGTCTCACAAGGAAAAGGTTTCTCACCTGTGTGGGTTCGGCTGTGAACATTTAAACTGCTAAGATCTGAAAAACTTTTTCCACATGTCTTACATGGAAACGGTTTTTCACCTGTGTGGGTTCTGATGTGAACATTTAAATGACTATTCCGAGAGAAACTTTTTCCACACGTCTTGCAAGGAAAAGGTTTCTCACCTGTGTGGGTCCTGGTGTGATTATTCAAACTACCAACATCAGTGAAACTTTTTCTGCAGGTCTTACATGAATAAGGTTTCTCACCAGAGTGAGTTCTTATGTGAACATTTAAAATACTCATCTGAGAAAAACGTTTTCCACATGTCTTACATAGATATGGTCTCTCACCTGTGTGGGTTCTCATGTGAACATTTAAAGAACTGTCATCAAAGAAACTTTTACTGCATGTCTTACATGGGAAAGATTTCTCACCTGTGTGGGTTCTCCTATGCGCTTGTAAACTACTAATATGAGAGAAACTTTTTCCACATGTCTCACATGGAAAAGGTTTCTCACCTGTGTGGGTTCTGATATGAATATTTAAAGTACTGATGTTATAGAAACCTTTGCCACATGTCTGACATGAATATGGTCTCTCTTCTGTGTGAGTTCTATAATGCTGTTTGATTGTATACTTATTCTTATAGAATTTCCCACAAATGTCGCATTTGAAAGGCCTCTTCTTTATATCAGTTTGAGACTGACTCTCTGACATTGAGCTATTTCCTCCCTGATCTTCAGTCTCAGCTAGAGGAGAGATATAAAAGGACAGCTGCTCAGTTCTCGATTCTCTTTCAGCAATTTCCTGAACACCAAAAGTTTGAATCAACCTGTTGGACTTCTGCACAAACTGTCCTTCCTTACAGCTTTGTAAATCATTTGCGTTCTGTCTAGGTGGTACATTTTCTCGTAGTGCCTGTTCATTTCTAGGCAGTGGGGAATCTGGTTCCTGTTTTATTACAATAAGTTCTGATTCTATTTCCTCCTCTTCTTTATGCCATGGAGGTCCTGGTTCTCCCTGTTCCTCCATCATTAGCATATCCATTTCCTTTCGTTCCTCTTTAGCCCATGTGTACTCAGGGTCCTCATTTTCCTCTTTGATTAGTAGAAGCTCTGGGTCTTCTTCTTCCTCTTTAATCCATGAAGGTCCTGGTTCATCTTGTATTTCCACCAGTAGATAATCTAGTTCATTCTGTTCCTCTTCATCCCATGTAGACTCTGGTTCCTCAATTTCTTCTTTAACCCATGGAGGCTCTTGTTCCCCAAGTTCTTTAATAGGAGAAGATGAATTGTCTGGTTCAGTCTGATCCTCTTCTGTCCATTCAGGTACTTCTTTCTCATGGTTATGACGTCTGGATGGCCAAAGCTTTATCCGAAGCGGAGACATGTTGCTTTTGGGGTTCTACAGGGGAAAAGGGGAGATCATTAACAAGTACAATACTCAATACCCATTGTGTTAAAGTGAATACATTCTTTTTGAGATTGTTGCAAATAGAAAACAGAAAAATAAGAAGTCATAGTCACGCAAATATTTACAACCATACCCAACATTTTGCTTTCAGCCCTGCAGGAGTTGCATAGTCTCTTAATCTTGACACCTTCAATGCATCAAATAAACATCAAATGTGTGAATTTAGGACATGCCTTTTCTCAGTTCACTAGAACGCGAGTACGGACTTGTGTCCTCGCCAAGTATGTTCGTGAGAAGAACACAGGAAAGTCTGGACTCGGGGAGAACGGGAGCACGCAACATTAATATGGGTCAATTAGAATAGAAGCATACTCGTAACGTCACCACATGCCCAGCTCATGTAGAGCTGCATTTCACCGCCTGTTATTAATAGTCTCTAGATAATAGGCGCAGCAGAAGCAGCGAGTTTACATGCAAAGTCAATGGTTGGCGCACGTCAAGGCGCAGCAAAATGTCCCGGAGCACGTTTTGAGCAGCAGGCGCAGCGCGTCTGAGCAGCTGAAGCAGCGAGTTTAAGCATCTGACACATGTGATGCGCCGCAAACGCGCTGCTGCTCGAGATGGAAAAATTTTACTTTTGCTGCTTGACGCGCCGCATCAAATAATCAGAGAAGCTGATCTGGGAGCTGGCGGGGAGACGGACACATCGCTGATGACACAGAGCGCTGTGATCGCTCCTCTGAAACACTTTATTGACGCCTAAATTAACTTAAATTAATTTAACTTTTATTATCCTGGTGCCTGCAGTTTGGATTATTTAGATGAAAAACACCTACCAGCCGCCGCGGTGAACCGGGAGGAGGCGACCTGGCCAGAGGCTGCTGTTAAATGGGATCCTACTGACAGCGCACCGCTGGTATGTGGGAGTCTGAGCAGCTCCAGCAGAAATAATATTGGAAGGTGGGCCTGTAATCTGGATGAACTGACTGCACCGATTAAGTTTTCAGGTGGATTTTCTCACTTAAAACATATTAAAACTAATTTATTCTCACTGATCACAGCAAATATAGCTGCAAGGAGAATAAAGGACAGAGTAGCTCCGCCCAACGCGCGTCACACACACTTTTGCACCGAGCAGCGAGAGCAGCAAAGCTGCTTCAGCTGCACGTCAGAACTAACTGGTACAAGCAGCAAAAATGAAGCAGCAGACGCGATTTTGCTACTCCTGCTGCGTCCGGTGTGAACGCAGCATAAGCGTGGAAAAAAAAGTAGCAGCTTTTAGTCCAGAAAATACTGTATGTTTTCTAATCTTACTTTTTTTCCCATAACTCTAATGTCAATGTTGTAATGATGTTGTTTATTCAATTAAATTAAAAAACACTATTAATCCCAAATGGAAAATAAATAAATAATATTATTTACCTGAATCTCAAAAAATTTACTGTTTTGTTGTGTAAAATTTTTTTCCGGCTAACAGCTTTAAAAAGACAGCACTCCTCAAATACAGTGATCATGAGGTTATGTCTCAGCAATGGGCCAACCCACTCAAATAGGCGTCTACACATTCAAGTCTATGGTCAAATTGAGTTTGGTTTTGCTGGAGGTTTCTTCCTATTAAAAGCTGTTGCTGTATGCATGCTTTGTGTGAGGGATTGTTGCAGGCTCAACAAAACAGTGCAGCAATCTAGTGTCAGATTTGAGCCACATGACAGAAGAGCTAGGCAGAGGCAGCGGGTGGCTGCGTCTAGGTTTGGATGCTAACCGGGGAGATTGTATGGCAGTCATTAGTTGTTGTTTTTCTTTATGTGGACCGGTTGAGCATTTATTTCAATCTTATAACACATACAATTTTTTTGAAAACATTAACAGCCATAACAAACTAAGATTTTTTTCAAGTAATTTCATCTGTAATATTTTTTCGTTTTTTTTAAGTAAATAGATTTTTTTTCCTATTTAACCAGGTAACAATTAAATGTATCATAATGTTAAAGATAAATAATTTAGAAAAAATATATTTTGAACTCATATTTTATCTGTAATCAGAATTAGATGCAGCAAAAAATGTAAAATATCGTTTCTGCTCTGCAACATACTAGAATTCCTTTCATTTCTGGAGTGAAAAGTGCCATTTCCAAATATGGTATGGGTCTCTTCCATTAAGTCGGCCTTCTCTTACTGCATGCTGCAGCGAGCTGTTCTTATGCTATGTTCAGCAGCTGGTTTTACATGCACAGTCAATGGTTGACACACATCAAAAGGTCCTGCACCACGTTTCGAGCAGCAGGAGCAACGCAACTGAGCAGCCAAAGCAGTGCCTCATGAGCTTCTAAAAATCTGATGCGCGTGACACACTTCACAATCAGCAGATGCTGAGACAGACAAAGCACTGCTGGCATACATCGATATGACCACTAGGGCTGGGTACCGAACTTCGGTTCTTCTATGGTACCGACCGAAATGCTTCGGTTCTACAGGGTATCGAAACATGCCTCGTCTTTCGGTACCAAGTTTCGGTGATTGGCTGTAACACTTAACTTGATTGCGTCATCCAGGAAAAATACACAGGTGGTCACGCCTACGCCAGGGTTCGTGTGTATCTGTTGTGAACTGGTTGCGAGCGTCATGGAACCCCTTTAAAATGCCCCCCAGGTCAAAAGTGTGGCTTCACTTTATTAAGACTGATGCCAATAGTGCGCAATGCAATACATCGTGCACGGAAACAATTTAAGAGCAGAAAGTTGCTCGGTGTTTGAATGCAAGAAGAGCGGACCGCAGCCGATGCAACCATCCTCCTCTCAGCAGCCCGTGGGCAGAGCAAAGCCAGAGCGGAGTGAATCATGCTGCTTTCAAACTGGACGCAGCAGGAGCAGCAAAATCACGTCTGCTGCTTCATTTTTTGCTGCTTGTGCCAGCTTCTGACGCGCGGCTGAAGAAGCTTTGCTGCTCAGGCTGCGCGGTCGAAAAGTGGCTCTGACGCGCGTTGAGCGGAGCTACTCTATCCTTTATTTGCCTTCCAGCTATATTTGCTGTGATCAGTGGGAATAAAGTAGTTTTATTATGTTTTTAAGTGGGAAAATCCACCTGAAAAGTTAATCAGTGCAGTCAGTTCATCCTGCCTTCCAATTATTTCTGTGGGAGCCGCTCAGACCCCCACATACCAGCGGTGCGCTGTCAGTAGGATCCCATTCAACGGGCCTGTTTGTTAGACATGTTAATTTTTCTAAAGGAAAACTGCTAAGTATAAAGGTCCTCACAATGTAACAGTGAATATTAGA